TTCATAATCAAGTCTAACCATACAGAACCCTGAAGGCCCAAAAACAAAGCAAGCTTACAGAGCAGCCCAAACTCAACACCTGATCATGAACACAAGAAAATGATGGAAAGACGCGAGGATTGATCGAGCACGTACTGAATGGGAGGACGATCGGGCTTAGAGGAAAAGGCGGATGTTAATTCGCCCGTATGAAGGGCAGTTTCATCATTCTGAAGATCATCTTCGGGAAGCGCGGTTAGGTCCGATGAATTCTCCATTCCGATCACTCGCCGGAGAACAAATAACGATTTGCGATTTGTTTGCTGTGCTGTGTTTGCTACTTCGTAGTCTGATCTGAAGCTGCTTTTTGGGTTGGGAACTTGATGGGCTCTGGATTTGGGTTCTTGCCCATGTTCTGGGCTGTCGGCCTATATCAATGTTTCTAGCAAAGGGCCCAGAATTGAATCGGGCTAAATTGCATATTTTTTTTTTTTTAGTTTTTGTAAGTGATATATGTAAGCATTTTTAAGAAATATATATTGTTTATATAAATTTTAAATAATTTAAATATATACATATAAACTTTTTTGAGAAATATAAATGGTTTACATGTATTTTGTCATTTGAAATCATAATGTTATTATTCCTAACAAAAAATAATCACTATATAATAATTTTGGTATTTGATTACCTTTATTTCAAATTAATATAATAATATTTAAATAAAAGACAATGAGTGATCAATGGAATTTATCTAGCTTATTGTTTTTAATAATTAAAAAATTGATATTTTTACTCGTATATTCTAAAAAATGCATTCAATTGACTAAATATGCGCCCTTGTTTTGTATTGTTTCCTCTTTTCATTTTTTCATACTTGTTTAATAATCCTTCAGCACAACAATAGTGGAAACAAAAAGAGAAACAAATGTATAAATAACAAAGAAGCAAGTGAGCAATATAAATGAAGTCGAGCTCGAGCTTGTTTAATAAATGAATCGAGATGGCTTAGCTTGGTTTAAGCTCGTGAAAGTTGTTCGACTCAACTTATTTAATAAACTTACAATCGTAAATGAATTATTCGCGAACATGATTTATTCATCTGTCAACATATTCGCTCAGATTTGTTTGCAACTCATTTGATCAACAAGCTTGTCTAATTGTTTGAAGTCAACTTGTTTTAAAACAAATGAACAAGCAATCTTGAGATTTCATGGCAAACGTGTTTGCGAACAATTTAGCTCAATTAATTTCATCAAACAACTAGCTAAAAACACAAGCATAACAAATATAAAAAGAGTTAGCCAACCAAAAAAAATGTACAAATACTACATAAATCTTATGTAATGTTTTACGGATTAGGGCAACAAGCAACGGGATCATTTTTTTTTTTAAAAAAAAAAACTCTCAACTAGAATCACTTATTAGGAGTAAATCTTGAGGGTGTGCAACATCCAAAGTTCCAAAAATATAATAGAGGTCAAACTCGTTAATCTAAATCCAAGAAATTAATAGTGCTTATTTAATAAATTAAAGACCTCGGGAACACCGACAACACTTTTATATCCAATCATCAAATCAAAACGTGACTAAATAAGCTAATTACCACATAGTTTGCCACAATTAAAATGACAAAACAAAAAGATAAAGCTAAAGCAACGAAACCCTAGCTAGAGAGCAGCGTGCGTGGAAATCGAAGCCGTTTCAATTTGACTCTATTAAGGACAACACGCAATTAGGACCACATTTTAAAAGACAAAAGGAAAGGGCACAAGTGGAGAAAGCGAGGGGCATAAAAACAAAGTTTAAGGAACTAATTGCATAAATAAAGTTTATTAATTTGGCATGGAAAACGTTGGTGTAACTTTGGCATGGCTAAAACGTGGGTAATTTAGTACAATAGTTTAAGAATTATAAAGGTAAAAGTGGTCATATAATTAGGGAGTGGTGTTGTCTTCATCGTGCTGCACTTTGTCCAGCCGAGTGTTGAAGAAAAGCGTGTGCAAATGGTCAACAATGTCCTTCACCGTGCCTCGAAACTCACTCGTCATCTGTATAAAGAACAATCAATTAGTTCGTGACAAAAGCTCTTTTAAGTGAAATTCCGTTCTAGCCGTTGGATTGAACAGAATAATCACACACACGCATGTAAATGATCCAACGGTTAAAATCCTGTTCAAGCAGAATAAGGCAAAAACATATCATCGTTTTAATGCAGTTATTGAGTAAAATCGACACAAACCTCCTGTGAGTATGTGTGTATGAATGTATGTGTTAGATACGATAAAAAATTAGTGTAGGATTGAATATGCAAAAACTTTCACATAAAATATGAATTTATGCTTTTGATGTCATGTACAATTGTACTCCAAAAAGTAGCATAATTAAGTTTAGGTGCTTTACATTACTATGCATTTGATTTTTAATTTGAAGGTGTAATATATGCTCAATACCCTCAAAATGGAGATAAATCAAACCCACAAAGTTTCTAGCTTTAACATACCAATTACTATTTATATTCATGTTTACTGGAATTAGAGATGTTCAACCAACTTATACTAACTTTTAATAACCAATTGCATGCATTCCCAATATTCGAATTTCTCCAGTTTCAATCCCAAAAGTCAAATTGAAAGAGGAAACTTATTATACTCTCCCCTACTTCAAATATTAACATATTTAAGCTAAATTTAGAGATATATAGAAAATTGATCAATACCTACACCTAGAAGCACTTATATAAAGCTAAATCGAGAGATATATAGTAGTTTTATCAATACCTGAGCAAGAAGAGTAATATCAAGTGCATCGTCTCCAAACGGCAAGATTCTCATGTCGACCACATTGAGATGAATCTTCTCCATCTGACATGGAATCCTAGACATCAAACCAATTTGCTTCTTGCAGTGAACTTTAACCAAAACATGCTTGTCTGAAACTCGGGCCTTAATTTCTGCAGGGGCCGATTCGCTAATCGTGCTCCACCTGCAATTCTCATTATCAATGTTATTATTATTGATGAAGCTAGCTAATTTATCCGAAGAATGATATTCATCATCTCTTGATATGTCGTTCGTGAAGCTTTTCGTGCTCATCAGTCCTTGTTCAAGCGAGCTCACACGTTCTTGAAGGGCTTTCAAGTAGTTAATAGCATCTTCAAGTAGAGAGGCCTTATCCAACTGTGTTGAACAAAGAAAATGAGTCAATTAATCAATCAAGTCATATCAATAATGCTGATGTTAGACAAATTAATAACTTCATGTTTAGACAGTGATGAAGAAACAAAAAGAAAGCTCTTTATATATGATCAAGTTAATCATATTGAAATATATGATGAAACTTTTTTTATTTGGTGGAAGAAGTTCACACATCATGACTCTAGCAAGGTAATATATTCTACAAGAAAATTGTTACGTTTCAATGAAAAATCCAATCTTAAAATTATTTCAACAGAAATTCCAATTGATAATTAAATCAGATATTTCGATGAATTCTCAATGAAGATGAAAACTAAATAATTAAAATTTCCGTTAGTTTTACTAAATCGATCGAGCTTCAATTCAATCCTTCATAACTTGATATCCCTAGCCAGGTATATAGTCTTACAAATCAACTATATAGTACATCAAGAGACGAACATAATTTAATTATACCAAAAAAAAAAAAAAAAATGAGGAAAGGCGAACGGAATTCAAGCTGGAATATTACCTTCTTGAGTCCCGGCACGACTTTGGAGAGACTAATGAAAAGTTGACCGAGATTCTCACGACGTTTCCTCTCAGCCATCAGATGATCCCTAGCTTGAGACAAGGACCGTACGGTCAATGCACCATTCTTTTGACATAATGTTGAATCTTCATATTCGTTATCTTCAGCCCAAGCCGAAAAATTTAGAATTTGTGAGCTGGCTAAAGAGTTGTAGTCCTTATTATTGGCCAACTCATGAGCGAATGTACGGTTATTAGACGCTGTTTGACCAGTTGAGACGTTACTGGTCTCGAAAGAAAGGATTTTCGGGGCAGCTGAAGAGGAAGATGCAGTTGAATGGTTTGTCTGATTTGCTGAATAATCCCAGCTATTAACAATATTTATTTCATGTTCATGAATTTGCGGTCGATTTGTTGAGTAGATCTCGGGTAGAATGTGCTTCAGATCAAACATCTCCTCATAGTTTTCTTCCATTTGCACATGTAAATGTAAAGAACCTAATTAAAACAAGAACAGAAACATAAATAAAAATACATTAACAAAAAAAGAAAAAAAAAAGATCAAGATAATTAACTAGAGACACACAATGGATTTTACCTCGTATCACAACAAATTTATTTGTTTTGGTGTAATGAGATGAGGAGGAGCAGGTGGAGGATATATCTATCTGCAGATTTGAAAGGAGAAAAAGGTCTAAACCATAGATCTTAAAGACTTTAGGTGGTGTGAACTAACATTAATGACGATAAATGGAAATTGTCGGGAAGACGAGGTCTTATTGGTGTGTACAGACAGAATAGAGAAACTCTCTGTCTCTCAACTCATTATTTATTTCCCACTGTACAAATGGGGGCGCATTTTATTTTATGCACTATACTTTTAGTTGTTATAAGGTGTAGGTCAAATGTATTCTCTACAATAATGATATGATGCCCAATCATAGTTTCTTGTACACTATGAAATGAGCTTTATTATAACAACTATTATTATTATTATAACAACTAGAGAGTTATATTTTTTCAATAGATATTTATACTATTAAAATGACACCCCCTTAAAATAATATAAATATGTACTTTTGTTAAATAAAGTATAACGAATCCACCTGCCTAACGGTTAGTTTGTGTCATGCACAAGAATTTTTCTTATTATTTTTGTACAACAACAACAACAACATACCCAGTATATTCCCAACAGAATTTTTCTTATTATTTTTCTTATTATTTTTGTATTTAAATAAATTTGATTTGATTTGTTTTTTACACACGTATTAAGAGTGTCCAGTATAGATCAAAATATTGGTAAATATTAAATAGAAAAAAAGAGAGAGAATCTTTTGGAGTTCATATTTCGGATTCGCAATGAATTATTTGATGTGGATAGATCATAGAACACATAAATTTAGGTTGTGGGGCCTTTTCATTTGAGGAAAACCTTATAAGAGTTAAGAAATACTGTTGCAATTGAATAAATGATTGATGCCTGATGGGCTTCAAAATAATGTTTATAATGAACGAAGGTATTTATGTATGTATGTATATGGAATAATGTTCTCTTTTCATGACAAAAACATATTTAGTCATAGTTATGGCTATAAATTGATGAAATAATCTCCTTTAAATCCGATGCTTAGAAACAGATAGCAGAGGATCCGCTCACTCTAATTTTAAAATAATTAGTTATGCTGGAGTTAATTTTGTGCAATTTGGATAAAGCTGTT